ACAAAAAACTAGCCGGGCGAGGTGGCGGGTGCCTGTAGTCCCAGCTACTGGGGAGGCTGAGGCAGGAGAATGGCGTGAATCCGGGAGGCGGAGCTTGCAGTGAGCTGAGATCCGGCCACTGCACTCCAGCCTGGGTGACAGAGCGAGACTCTGTCTCAAAAAAATAAAAAATAAAAAAAGAATGTAAAATTATCTCATGTGTTTATCTTGATTAAATGTTAAAATGAGAATATTTAAAATATTTTAGGTTATATAATATATAGTTAAAATTAATTTCCTTTGTGTTAAATGAGGATATCGGAAAATTTTAAATTATATGTGACTTTCTCTGAAGAGCAATAATCTAGGATACAACTGCAATGTCTAGGGAGAATTAGAGAATAAGAAAGCCTAAATGGGGTTAACCTATGATAATTAAAGGTACAGAGACACTCTAAAATCAACATGGCAATAAGTGGAAATCGTGGGAACAGAGAAATTCTGGCTTAGTGAGGAGAACTCCATAAAATGAAGATGAAAGAGGTTAATAAACCACTACTTATTAGACTATGACTAGCTATCTTTATAAATCATAAAATCAGAAATCATTTTGTTCAATCCTCTCCTTTTATGTGTACGAAAACTGAGCTATAAATAAGGATCCACAAATGTAGGGAAAAAAAATATTCGTTCTATAGTATTTGTTTTGTGCTTTTTATTTAGATTCCTCCCACGTAACACCTGTAAATTATGAAGCGAGAAGAACTTTTACATGTTCCAACTCTGTGTCCTTGGACAAATTAACATCTCTGGGTTTCAGCTTATATAACTTTAAAAATGCAAACTTGGACTTAAGGTTCAAAGTGACTTAAATATTCTATCATTTCTACTCAATATTCAGATATCATAAACAGTTGGCTAGTGACAGAAACTCAAAATATGCAATCAGATCTCAGATGTAGCAGTAAAACAGAACCCAAGGAATAAAATGCTGCTTTTTGCATACATAGGTAACATGATATTATATAATAGCAGTCTGGGGCTGAATAAAATCCATCTAGTAAACAGTGGCCTCTTGTAATTTTTGCATTTATAGATTTTTCACCCTGAAACCTGTACTTTCCTCATCACCATTAAAGGATACTCTTCTTCCAACAACATTTTCTCAATAACAGCTCTGTTCTCTTCACTGATGGTGTTATCCAAGGTCCAAGGCTATTAAAAAGGAGAATATATTTTTCTTTTTATTATTGCTTTTTGAAATTATCTTCTGTTTTGTTAAAGAAAAATACATGATATAATGATTACAAATGACAGCCACCATTTACTGAGCACACAGACATATTTTTGATTACCACAGTAACACTCAGATAGGCATTAATACTTTACCAGAGCGACTATAGCACTACTCGCATTTTAAGTGGAAGAGCAGAGACTTTACACCCGAGTCTGTTGGATTCCCAGACTCATGCTCCTGCCCAGGATGAGGTAATAATCGCCACCCAAAAAAGGAATTATTTGTTAGGCATCAGATGCTCTGTTAGACACTTAACCTCTTTCCAAAACTCGCCACTAACTCTCCTTTTTCCTCAGTTACAATCTCCATGATCCTACTCATTTTCAATGCTCCAGGTTAAATATTTTCAGCTCATATCTCTTCTTCAACCTCTAGACCATAATATCCAACAGCCCATCCAATATTTGTACTTGGATATCTAATTGGCTTCTAGAACTCAACATATCTAAAACAGAACTCACCATCACTTATCGCCACCTGCTTCTCCCTCTGCATTCCCAACTCCACAAAAGGCCCTCTTGCTCACTAAGTTATTCCATATAGAAATTCAGGAATCACTGTAGATTCTTTCCTTTTCCTTTGATGCCCATATCCAATCTATCAACCAGTTCTACCTCCAAAATATAATTCAAATCCATCTATTCTATCTCTTCTGCTACTACCTCAGGCCAAGTCCCAATCATCAAATCTTGCTTCAATTACTGTGAATGTTTCCTAACTGGTCCCTTTAACTCCAGTCTTACTTCCCTCCAGTCTTTACCACAGTACCCAAAATTAATTTTATAAAAATGTATTGCTAATCTCTATTAAATCTATAAGAAATGTTTCAATGATATCCCAGTTCCTTTAAAACAAAACGTAAATCCTTTAGCATAATCCGACTCATAAGTCCCGCATGACAGAACTCTAGCCTTCCTCTCCAACTTTGCCACATGCTGCCACTCCTCCCTTTCCCACCATATTCTAGACACTGGCCTTCAACCAGAGCTTCTGTAGTTGCTGTTCCTTCTGCCTAGAATTTTTTATTTTAACTGTTCACATATCTACCCTTTTTCCCATCAATTTCAACTTAAATATCACCTCCTCAGATTCCCGCACTGACAATTAAATCTAAACTAGGTTTCTCACTCTGGTACTCTCAGTCAGCATCTTGCTTATTTCCTTCAAAATCTATTACTAGTCTGTCTGCCTGTTTATTATCTAACTCCCTTTTAGAATATAAGCTTCTTGGGAGCAGGAACATGTCTGTCTTCATTATAGTCATATTCTCCAAGCCTGACCTACTGACTGGCACACAATAAGTACTCAATAAGTAATTACTACATGAAGAAATAAGCCCTGTGATAATCCCATTTTTTTTTTCTCTTTGAGACCGGGTCTCACTCTGTTGCCGAGGTTGGAGAGCAGTGGCACAATCAGAGTTCACTGCAAACTCAAACTCCTGGGCTCAAGGAATTCTCCTGCCTTGGTTTCTCAAAGCACTGGGATTATAGGCAGGAGCCACCTTGCCCACCTACCACTTTTTTAGGTGTAAAGAAACTGAAGGTCACAAATTTGAGAAGTGGTACAGCAAGGATCTGTACCTAAATCTAGCGGGCTCCAATCCTGTTCCTCAACAGGCCATTTTTCAATGTCAAAAGAGGAGGTTTCTATTTCTAAAGTAAGAAAAATTCTAAATTTCTAAAAAAGAAAAATATTACATCTGTGATAGTTGAGAACTAGCACTAAGTTTAAAAAAAAAAAAAAAGCAGCACTCTAGGCAATAAATAACAGCTTAATGCACCTGATATTTTTATAAAATACTTACAATAAGGCCATTCTCTGTTCTCCAAGATGAATCAAGATAGTGATCTTTTTGTAAAACTGATGCTGTATTTTTGTCACTTCTGTAATAATTAAGAAAATGAGTATATAAGTGAAAATCATACTGGTTAATGAATGTAACTCACACAGCACAGAAGCTTAGGCACAGAACTAAGCATTTGCTTAGTTCCCTTCTCCCCTTAACAAACAGATTTAACATCGTGGAAATGCCTGCTCTACCTCTTTGGCCTGTGAAATACATGGTAGCGCTAAGCTACCCCATCTCAATTGTGAAACATCAAGTCTGACTGCTCACTTCTTTTGGTTCTCAAGAATAAACAATCTCATGAGGAAAACAATACCCCAAAGCAGCAATCGCAACGTGCTCTGTGACTATGAACCAACAATGCAGTTTCAGTTGATTAGTACCAGTACCCATGTGTATACAGGAATTCAACTTTGTGATTAAACCTTTTAGCTGTATCTAAATTATAAAAATCACCATCAACAGCACCACCCATAAAATGGAAAAAAAAAAAAAAAAAAACTAGATGACAGAACCAAAACAGAAAATACTCAAAGGGCAGTACAGTGAATAGATAAGAAAAACATGGTTTTAATAACAACTCAAACAATTTAAAAAATTAATTTGATTTGGAGGCTTTTCAATGTCCACGGGAGATCAAACTTTGTTAATTATCTCACTCTTTTCATTAAGCTCATAAGAACTCTTTAAAGTTACATTGTTTACCCCATATTTGAAAAGACTGAATAAGTTTTGGGGGGCTCAATCCATGATATAAATTTAATATTTTGCTTATTGACTTTTTCTAGACCTAGTCTAGTGGTAAGAATTTTCCATCTCTAAGACTGCAAAAACCTTTCAACAGGCTTATAAATTTGAATCTTTAATTAGGCAGTAGTTATAATAAATTGTGGGACTAATGAACTATTCTCTAAAAGCAATCATTTCTCTCAATTGTTGATGGCAAATAGGCTTAATCTTAAATGCCAACTATGACCTGGAAGAGACTACCAGGAAGGCTAAATAAAGGATTCTGAGACTTGTATTAGCTCAAGGAAACCTTTGCTCAAATAACTAGGTCTGCCAAGAGTTCAGAAAGTAGAACCACTATCATTTCAAGTTCACTGTAGAAATCTTTTTATTCCTCAATAAGAAGAATCAGCAACACTCATACTCTGGTAGCTACTTCTGGATATCTGCCTGATTACCACATATTAGCATGTTTAAAGCTTGAAATCACCTTTCCTCCCAAATCTGCTACTCTTCCATTGTTCACCATCTCACTCAGTGGCACTACCATCTCCCTAGTTATCCAAGCCAAAAATCCAAGCCTGCCCTTTTTTCTTCACAACCCCCATTTAATCTGCCCCAATTCTGTTGTTTCTCGCACTTTCCAAATCCAGTCCTTCTAGTATATTCATACTGCCTCTGAGGTCCTGTAGCTTCCAATCTTATATACTTTTCCTGGATAAATGTAAAAGATAAAGCTGACAAACCATTCACCTCCCCTCCTTTATCTTTCTCCACCCATCTCCATCTGACATACGTATAAGACTGCTGTTTATGTCATCTAACAAGAACGTTAGTTCTATGAGAGCACAGACTTGGTTTTGATACACTGTTATATATCAGTGCATGGCATGTAGAAAGTACTCAATCAATATTTGTTGGACTGAATGAACAAGGTAGGCGGGGCGTGGATCAGTCAGATCTCTGGAAGTTAAAAAATGAAGATTTTTATCAAAAAACCAACTGGGGAGTGAAGAGAATAACATGATCTGATTTGGATATAAGAAAGATTACTCTAACTTCAGAATAGAACAGAAGGGGGCCAAGAAGACAAGGAGCAGTTAAGAGGGAGAGATTATAAAAATACTAGAGAAAAGTGACAATAACTTAGAGCTATGGGACAGTGAGAACAGGAAGAAGTGTATACAGTTAAGAAGATACTTAGACAGAATCAACAGCCCTAAATAACTGATAGGGTAGAGGAGTAGAAGGAGGGAAGTAAGGAATGGTGAAGTTTCGGTCTGTGCTTTGGGTGACTGGGTGTGTGTAGGTGACATTTACTATACTAGGGCACAGTGAAGAGGCAGATTTGGTGGGGAAAACTTATAAGGTGAAACTGAGGTGCCTGTGGGACATCCAAGTACAGATAGATTCAGAGAACTGGATAAATGGATCTGTCACTTAAGAGAGATCTGTGTTGGTAACAGATTTGGGAAACATCAGCTGGCAAGTCAAAAATGGTTGAACACTGGTAAAACTTCGTATCATTCAACCTAACAAAGAGAAGTTGAAGTCTTGAGAAGGACTGTGTGGTCAGTGAATAAAAGTCCGATGAGAAAACTCCTTGCAACACCAGGATGTAAAGAACATTAAGAAAAGAAGGATGAGAAAGAATGGTAGAAGTAGAAGAGAAACCAAAAAGTTTCAATGCCACCTTCTAACTTTGACATCTAGCACTTACCAAGTGCTTACAAGTGTCTATTAAATTAATCCTCAAGGGTTTCACAGATGCTATCATCAACTGTAACTACATACTTCAGAGAGTACCATTACACTAAATTCCATATGATTGGAGCTCCAACACCACTGGGCACTATTTACCAGAATATAATATTAATGATACTCCTTGGGGTTGTATAAGACAATGGTTGTAACCATCACCAGGAACCAATAACCTTTGTAATCCTGCTTGTTACCACGAGTGCTACTGGGGAGTAGACCTAGGCCTCAACTAAAATAGGAAGAAAAAGAAAAGTGGGAAAAATTTAACACAATCAGAAAAATTAAGATAAATCTATGGAAGAAGCATACCGCCAATGCCCTCAGGTGATCAATGTTTAGTGCTTCTAAGGTCAGCCCATTTCTTTCTAGACTGCAGATAAGTATCCCTGCCAACCTATTTCATTAACTTGTTGTGAAAAGTAAATTAAATCAAGCATGCAAAAGCACTTGGTGAAGATTTAAACATTGCATGAATGTCAACAAGTATTGTTATTAAGGGCTCCTTACTCATCTGCAAAGCTTTGAGGGACAATGACCATATGAGTTTAATTACCCCTCACGTCTTTATAGGGCTTTAGAGTTCATGATACACTTCTAAACACACTATGTTAGTACCTCAAGCGCTGGGTTAACACTTCTCCCCAGTTCACAGAGGCCCTGATATTAAGCTGAACTACATGAAATTGCCACTTTATAGAACAAAAATGGTCTAAATATTGGCAATTTCATATGGTTCAAGCTAATACAATTCTAAGGAAATTGTACACAATTATAGACATAGATGGTTGACTTTAGAACTCAGGTCTTCTGATTCCTGGCTAGTATAGTCATGGCTAAATGACTAGATTCCATGGCTAGACTCCATGACTTAAAAGGAGGCTCATGGCCGGGCGCGGTGGCTCACGACTGTAATCCCAGCACTTTGGGAGGCCGAGGTGGGCGGATCACAAGGTCAGGAGTTCGAGACCAGCCTGGCCAACATGGTGAAACCCCATCGCTACTAAAAATACAGAAAGCAAGGAGTCAAAGGAGGTTCCGTGTCAAATCACACTAGGCTGTTTGTTCTACTGGAAGAGGTATTTTTAAAAAATGTGATCCCTCACTGGATTCTCACAGTACTGTCCCCGAGGGTAACAGGATGGTAAAGAATACATTTAGAGGGCACCTACTGTATGCTTAAGCATATCTCACAATCATTTCATTTGATCCTCACAATTTCATGAGGCACATATCATGACTCTCAGTTTAAATATGAGCAGTCTGAGGCTCAGACAAGTTAAGTATCTTGCCCAAGGTCACATTGCTATTAACTGGTAGGACGAGCAAATGCAGAAGGAAAACCCACAACTGTCCAACTCTAAAACCTGGCCCCTTTAAGTCAAGCTGCCTCTCAGAAGTTTTACAACTATCCCCATGTGGAAGGGATGAAACGACTCGCCCAAAGTCACACGCCTAGCGAGCCACAGAGTAAGAGTCCCTGTGCTCAGGTCTCGTCCGTAGCCGCTCTTGTTCTAGTTACAGTTGAGGAGATCCTGAAAAGGAGGGAACGGAAGAAGGAATCTAAATGTAAAACAAACGCAATGTGGTAGGCGAAATCGGTGCCCTCACAGCATCCGGCAAAAGGTGAAAGCGACACAGGAGTACCTGAGCTCCAGGTAACCCCCCTGCCCGCTGGGCTCGGGACAAGCCGGCGGGCGCGGCGCCTCCCAGGCCCACAGGAGACCCTGGCCCAGGCGATAGTCTTCTGTTCCCTTTTCCCTTGCCGGACCTGTAGTTTTCCCAGGGCCCTCTCCTTGAATCCAGTCCCCTTTCCGCCCCAGAAAGACCCGGTCTGTGAGCCTCACCCTGGCTGTGCCCCCGCCGCCGCTACCACGTCCCCTTCGATATCCACATCAGCCTCTTCCGCCGCCATGATGGGACCTGACCCCGTCTATCCTCCCGAGAGATCCCGCGAGACGAAAATGGCCCGGGGGCAGAGCCTAACGCGTCACGGGGCGGGGTTGAAGCGTCGTCCAGCCCCTCCCGTGCCGGGAGGCGGGGTTTCCAGAGCAAACGCATAAGACTGCTGTTTATGTCATCTAATAAGAACGTTAGTTCTATGAGAGCACAGACTTGGTTTTGATACACTGTTATATATCAGTGCATGGCATGTAGAAAGTACTCAATCAATATTTGTTGGACTGAATGAACAAGGTAGGCGGGGCGTGGATCAGTCAGATCTCTGGAAGTTAAAAAATGAAGATTTTTATCAAAAAACCAACTGGGGAGTGAAGAGAATAACATGATCTGATTTGGATATAAGAAAGATTACTCTAACTTCAGAATAGAACAGAAGGGGGCCAACAAGACAAGGAGCAGTTAAGAGGGAGAGATTATAAAAATACTAGAGAAAAGTGACAATAACTTAGAGCTATGGGACAGTGAGAACAGGAAGAAGTGTATACAGTTAAGAAGATACTTAGACAGAATCAACAGCCCTAAATAACTGATAGGGTAGAGGAGTAGAAGGAGGGAAGTAAGGAATGGTGAAGTTTCGGTCTGTGCTTTGGGTGACTGGGTGTGTGTAGGTGACATTTACTATACTAGGGCACAGTGAAGAGGCAGATTTGGTGGGGAAAACTTATAAGGTGAAACTGAGGTGCCTGTGGGACATCCAAGTACAGATAGATTCAGAGAACTGGATAAATGGATCTGTCACTTAAGAGAGATCTGTGTTGGTAACAGATTTGGGAAACATCAGCTGGCAAGTCAAAAATGGTTGAACACTGGTAAAACTTCGTATCATTCAACCTAACAAAGAGAAGTTGAAGTCTTGAGAAGGACTGTGTGGTCAGTGAATAAAAGTCCGATGAGAAAACTCCTTGCAACACCAGGATGTAAAGAACATTAAGAAAAGAAGGATGAGAAAGAATGGTAGAAGTAGAAGAGAAACCAAAAAGTTTCAATGCCACCTTCTAACTTTGACATCTAGCACTTACCAAGTGCTTACAAGTGTCTATTAAATTAATCCTCAAGGGTTTCACAGATGCTATCATCAACTGTAACTACATACTTCAGAGAGTACCATTACACTAAATTCCATATGATTGGAGCTCCAACACCACTGGGCACTATTTACCAGAATATAATATTAATGATACTCCTTGGGGTTGTATAAGACAATGGTTGTAACCATCACCAGGAACCAATAACCTTTGTAATCCTGCTTGTTACCACGAGTGCTACTGGGGAGTAGACCTAGGCCTCAACTAAAATAGGAAGAAAAAGAAAAGTGGGAAAAATTTAACACAATCAGAAAAATTAAGATAAATCTATGGAAGAAGCATACCGCCAATGCCCTCAGGTGATCAATGTTTAGTGCTTCTAAGGTCAGCCCATTTCTTTCTAGACTGCAGATAAGTATCCCTGCCAACCTATTTCATTAACTTGTTGTGAAAAGTAAATTAAATCAAGCATGCAAAAGCACTTGGTGAAGATTTAAACATTGCATGAATGTCAACAAGTATTGTTATTAAGGGCTCCTTACTCATCTGCAAAGCTTTGAGGGACAATGACCATATGAGTTTAATTACCCCTCACGTCTTTATAGGGCTTTAGAGTTCATGATACACTTCTAAACACACTATGTTAGTACCTCAAGCGCTGGGTTAACACTTCTCCCCAGTTCACAGAGGCCCTGATATTAAGCTGAACTACATGAAATTGCCACTTTATAGAACAAAAATGGTCTAAATATTGGCAATTTCATATGGTTCAAGCTAATACAATTCTAAGGAAATTGTACACAATTATAGACATAGATGGTTGACTTTAGAACTCAGGTCTTCTGATTCCTGGCTAGTATAGTCATGGCTAAATGACTAGATTCCATGGCTAGACTCCATGACTTAAAAGGAGGCTCATGGCCGGGCGCGGTGGCTCACGACTGTAATCCCAGCACTTTGGGAGGCCGAGGTGGGCGGAACACAAGGTCAGGAGTTCGAGACCAGCCTGGCCAACATGGTGAAACCCCATCGCTACTAAAAATACAGAAAGCAAGGAGTCAAAGGAGGTTCCGTGTCAAATCACACTAGGCTGTTTGTTCTACTGGAAGAGGTATTTTTAAAAAATGTGATCCCTCACTGGATTCTCACAGTACTGTCCCCGAGGGTAACAGGATGGTAAAGAATACATTTAGAGGGCACCTACTGTATGCTTAAGCATATCTCACAATCATTTCATTTGATCCTCACAATTTCATGAGGCACATATCATGACTCTCAGTTTAAATATGAGCAGTCTGAGGCTCAGACAAGTTAAGTATCTTGCCCAAGGTCACATTGCTATTAACTGGTAGGACGAGCAAATGCAGAAGGAAAACCCACAACTGTCCAACTCTAAAACCTGGCCCCTTTAAGTCAAGCTGCCTCTCAGAAGTTTTACAACTATCCCCATGTGGAAGGGATGAAACGACTCGCCCAAAGTCACACGCCTAGCGAGCCACAGAGTAAGAGTCCCTGTGCTCAGGTCTCGTCCGTAGCCGCTCTTGTTCTAGTTACAGTTGAGGAGATCCTGAAAAGGAGGGAACGGAAGAAGGAATCTAAATGTAAAACAAACGCAATGTGGTAGGCGAAATCGGTGCCCTCACAGCATCCGGCAAAAGGTGAAAGGGACACAGGAGTACCTGAGCTCCAGGTAACCCCCCTGCCCGCTGGGCTCGGGACAAGCCGGCGGGCGCGGCGCCTCCCAGGCCCACAGGAGACCCTGGCCCAGGCGATAGTCTTCTGTTCCCTTTTCCCTTGCCGGACCTGTAGTTTTCCCAGGGCCCTCTCCTTGAATCCAGTCCCCTTTCCGCCCCAGAAAGACCCGGTCTGTGAGCCTCACCCTGGCTGTGCCCCCGCCGCCGCTACCACGTCCCCTTCGATATCCACATCAGCCTCTTCCGCCGCCATGATGGGACCTGACCCCGTCTATCCTCCCGAGAGATCCCGCGAGACGAAAATGGCCCGGGGGCAGAGCCTAACGCGTCACGGGGCGGGGTTGAAGCGTCGTCCAGCCCCTCCCGTGCCGGGAGGCGGGGTTTCCAGAGCAAAGGCGCCCCCAGAGGCCTGGGGCTTCGTCTTTTCTAATTTGTTGATATGTAGAGACCTTGGGAAGTGGCCTACGCCTGAGCTTTTTTTTTTTCTGAGACGGAGTTTCACTCTTTTTGCCCAGGCTAGGGTGCAGTGGCGCGATCTCGGCTCACTGCAATCTCCACCTCCCGGGTTCAAGCGATTCTCCTGCCTCAGCCTCCCAAGTAGCTGGGATTACGGGCCACCACGCCCGGCTAATTTTTGTATTTTTAGTAGATACGGGGTTACACCATGTTGCCCAGCTGGTCTCGTACTCGCGACCTCAGGTGATCCGCCCGCCTCGGCCTCCCAAAGTGCTGGGATTGCAGGCGTGAGCCACCAGGCCCGGGCCCGCTTGGGCTTTTAAGAGCTTCCGCTCTTGCACAAATTCTTTGGGATCTCACTGCTCTCATTGATAAAATGGGGATAACAGCAACAGCTTTCTGGGCTGATGAAAAAAAGTCAAGCCAGACCTGCTTTGTGAACTGTGAAGGTTGCATACCTGCTGGTTATTTAAGTCTCTGTCTCTCTGTTTTTTAAAGAAAAGGGTCGTGCAGCCCTTATGTGAAGTCGTTCAGCATTTCACCTAAGTGCTGAACAACTTTTATTTTAAAATTCAACAAATATTTAAGAATATAACTTATGATTGTGTAATTTATTTTGTAGATGTCTTTGCAATTTAAAAATCACGCTCATGACCATTAATCCTCACAATATTCCAGTGAGGCAGGCAAAGCTAATATCACCAATTAATACTTTACAGGTGAGGTAACTGAGGCCTGGAAAGCTGAAATGACTGCCCAAGGACACGTAGCTTCAAAGACAGCTAGGAACAGAATCCAGGCTTTGTTGACTCTCTACTGAGTGCTCACCATGTAGAAATCACGTTGTTAGAAATTGGAGGATAAACCCCACTTCTGTCTAGTTTAAAGTTTCTCAAGAAAGTAGATACTGACGGCCAGATGCGGTGGCTCACGCCTGTAATCCCAGCACTTTGGGAGGCCGGGGAGGGCGAATCACAAGGTCAGGAGTTCGAGACCATCCTGACCAACATGATGAAAATCCGTTTCTACTAAAAATACAAAAATTAGCTGGGCGTGGTGACGGGGGCCTGTAGTCCCAGCTACTCAGAAGGCTGAGGCACGAGAATCGCTTGAACTGGGGAGGCGGAGCTTGCAGTGAGCCGAGATCACACGACTGCACTCTAGATTAAAAAAGAATGCAAACCTCTCAAAAAAAAAAAAAAAAAAAGAAAAAAAAAGAAATTAGATTCTGCCCTTCTGCATTCCCCTGCCTTAGCATCTGTCACTCACACCTTGTAATTTTTCATTCGTCTGCCTCCTGCCCTGGACTGTGAATTCCTTAAGGACAAAGACCATGTCTGCTAGTCCTTCTGCTACCAATATTCAGCATAGTGTATGACACATAGCAGATGCTCAATAAATATTGAACAGAGGAATGAATGAATGAATGAATGAATGAATTAAATGACCTCACTTCTCACACTTTTCCCAATTTGTCCCATCTCACCTTTGTTCTCAGGCTGTACTCTGAATATGATGGCAAAAGATGGAGAGAAAGAATTGTAAAGAGGGAGAGCCCACTTCAGAAACCAAACACTGCTAGGGCCCATTCTCAGGCCACCATGGGGGTGTTACTTCTGTTGTCAGTGGGCTTATCCAGTAACCAGTCCCTGTGGTAACACCATGCCTGACACAGAGTAGGCACTTGAAGATGTCTGTTAAATTTAATTTAGAGCAGGGTTAGGGTTTCTTAAAAAGACGTAATGGGCTAAATCATCAAAACAAATGTAAAATGGATATGCTTTTCACTGATTTTACATAGCAGGCAGGGATGGAGAC